CCCCAGAAACTCACAACCTTATCACTGTACAAGCCACTGAAGAAATCAAGTCATCTATCGAAACGAGGAACCCGTGGGCCAAGGTGGACTTCATTACTAAAATACCCAATGCTTCATCCATGCTGAAGGTCACCTTCAGTGATGTCAACATGGCAGCCAGAGCTCTCGCTGAGGGCCTGGCTATTCACTACTTCCACATCAACCCAGCCTTCATTGAAGCAGAGAAATTCCAACAAATCTCAGTGCTGTAATTGTTACTCATACTTAAACACCACAAATGATTGTCCTACCAAGGACAAGAAGTTCTGCTCCACCTGTGGCCGTGAGGGTCATGACTTCAAGACTTGCACTACTACTTCACCACCTAAATGTTTGAACTGCAAGAATGACCACCATACTCTTGCTGCCAGGTGCCCTACCAGAAGAGGCATACTCAAGAAACAACAACAACAGCAACAACAACAACAACAAAAGAAGCCCAACCCACAAGCAACCACATATTCTGCTATCGCCAAGCTTCAAGCAGACACTACCAAGATACTGCAAGCCACGCAAGCTGCTTCCACCACTTCCCTGCCAGCACCTACTGCCGACTCCACCAAGATTCTCTATTACATTATGTATGCTCATGTACAGAATGCAGCTGAGCCTGGTTCCTTCAACACTACCATCAATGAACTCTTCAAACTAAACAATATGCCTGGCCTCACATTCCCTGCATCAACTAACCACCTTCCACCGAGATCCTCAACTCTACTTCAAATATTACAAGCATTACCGCTGCTCCACCGTTGTCACAACTTCCACTCGACACAGAGATGGACCAATCAGAGGCCACTGAGACATCGGCAAATCCCACCAATGAGAGTCCACCACCGCCTGCTTCCACTTCCACTGCAACTGACCAATCAGAAGTCTCGCCTCGACCAGCTCAGCCGCCAGCAAAGAAAGCTAAAACTCAAGAGCCTAGGGATACATCTCCCCGTGTTACTGCTACTGCTCCACCACAACAACACTCTCAAGACATGAATGGTATATACTTCTACACAACCAACCAGAATAAGGACGAAATGCAATCTCCAGAACTTGCTCATCGCCTCCAGGAGGGAACAGTCAAGTACACCCTCGACAGACCTGTCGCACTCACCACTGAAGAAGTGGTTCGTCGCCTCAGAACCTCCCTAAGCTTTGTGGGCCTTGACTACACCTCAAAGAAGAAATTAAAGAATCTCCTGAATGGGTCTCGTGAAGACGGTACCCTCCTCTAGAGACAACCAATGACCACTCACCATGAAGACAAGTTTCCCCAGCACTTTGCTGCCTGCTAAAGCTGGGGTGTGGCTCCAATGAACCCTGTTTTCTGTCTTTGCCCGACTGTGCTACTGAAGATGCCAAGCATGAAGACACTTCCCTATCGGGGAGTCAACGCAGATAGAAGAAGTTACCCTCCAACTGGAGGGCTCAAGAAAGAAGAAAGAAGATGAACGTCACCCCCCACCCAGGGGGCCACTGCCGGGTCACGATCTGGAGAAGACCCGGGACGGAAGTACCGGCGAATCAACAAGAAGAAGTGCTACACCCACAAGCAACATTAAAAGAGTAAATAAGGAAATAAACACTAAAGACACAACAAAAGCATAATTTTCCTAATGTAACTACAAACTGGTAATTTTTTTTTTTTTTTTTTATTTTTATTTAAAAGGACACAGTACAAGATATAAATAAATAAAAGAACACAATTATTAACCGTTTGAAAATACAATGACCTACCATCAACCCCATAGCATACCACAAGTGTTACATTCATATTGTATTAAAGAATATACCATCACCCAACAATGAAACGAACAGGATAACACCTGCTCAGAAAAAACATCAACAAATTCTAAACCTACAAATCATGCCTATTATACAGTACAGTAAAACCTCCTTGCACAAAGTACACAGATGATATGATGCAGCTCGAAGGATAAAATCATACATTACAATAATTAAACAAATTTTAAAACCCAATAAATAAAAAATACAAATCCCTTAACCCCATAAACTTTTTTCCTTTTTATTTATTAAAGAATTTCCTTTTCACAAACTGAAACAATATTTTTTTCCCCCGTTTAAAAAACTTCAACAAATTTTTTAACCCTACAAACCCCCCTTTTATTTCACGTTCGTAAACCTTTCCTTGAAAAAAAACCTTTTTTTCCATTTTGGGAAGGCATTTCTTTTTACTTTTTTTCCCTTTCCCCCCCCCCCATTTTTAAAAATTTTTTTTCCCATTTTTTCCCGGCAAAAGCGGGAAAAACCTTTTTAACATAATAAAGAGCAAAGAGAGCTCCAGAAACCGAACAAAAAAATTAGCAAAAACCAAAAAAAAAAAAAAATTTATGCCCTGGGTCCACTTTAAAACCCCCCCCCCAACTCTTTTAAAAATTAGACCCCTTGCAAAAAGTGCACAAAAAAAATTTTTAAATTTAAACATAAAAAAAATTAAAATTTTTTAAAAAACAAAATTTAAATTTTTCCCCAAAACCAAAAAGCCGAAAATTTTAAACATTCCCTTGGGTTTTTACAATCACAATAAAAACCCCCCAAAAAACACGGGGCAGGAAACACCCTCAAAAAAGACAAAAACATCATATACGCGAAATCAACCCTTTAACAACTTAAAAAAACCCAAACATAAGGAAATAAAAAACTGTTTTAAGTTACGGGGCATAAAACCCCCTTATCTCCCTTTTTGGAAAAAATAGTAATCATTGTGTTTTTTTTTTTTTATATAAACAGTCAAAAAAGATAATTTATAAACAAAAAATTTTTTTTTTTTTTTTTTTTTTTTTTTTTTTTTTTTTTTTTTTTTTTTTTTTTTTTTTTTTTTTTTTTTTTTTTTTTTTTTTTTTTTTTTTTTTTTTTTTCCCAAGGTTTAGCCCATCATGGTTTTTTTTTTAAAAGGTTTTTTATCCTGTAGGGGCAGGGAACAAAAAACCCTTAGTTTCCCCAAACCCTAATTCATCCCCCTTTCCACTTATTTAAAACCCCTCCCCCCCTTTCCCCCCCTTCAAAAAAAGGGCCAAAAAACCAATTTAAACCCTCAGGGACCCCCCGGGTTTAGGGACCCCCCTTTGCCCCCCCCCCTGGGTTAAATGGGGGAGGAAGGCCCCCCCCCCCAGTGAGTTTTCCCGGGTTAACCCCCCGAAAGTAACACCCCCCCTCCCCCCATAGATTTTTGCCTTTCCTACACATAGTTCTATAAAATCTCGCTGCTAAGTTTTTTTACCCTTTAAAAATCCCCCCAAAACCTCCCCCATCCCCCCAAGTTTTCCTGTAAAAAATTTCCGTCATAAAAAACTTTTTAAGGCTCTACCCCCACTTTCCCCGGCACCCCGGTTAAAAATCCAACTTAACCCCCCTTTAGGAATGGCCATTGCCCCCCCCCCCCCCAAAATTTGATAATTTTTCCCCCCCCAAACCAAAAAAAAATTCCAAAAACCCTTTCCCCCCCTCCAAAGAGGGACAAAAAATATCCCGCTTTAAAAAGCCGATTCCCGTTTGTCCCCAAAAAATGAAAGCATTGAGTCCTCTCTCCCCAAACCCATTTTATACAACACATCCCAAAGGCCAAATTAATTCCCATCAAAAACCCGAAAATAAAACTTCGAAAACCCTTTGGGCGGGTTTTTTTAAGAAAGGGCCCAAATTCCCCCCAAAACCTACCCCAAGCCCATTTTTTGGGGAATACAGAAAGGGCCCCTGTAAAACCCCGGCCCACCCCCGCACCCCCCTTTTTCGTTTGCCCTTTTTAACCCGTGGACCCCCTTTTTTAACATGAAATAAAACCCCACATGTCCTCACAATACCCCCAAACCCCTTCCACACCCCATCCTTGCTTTCCTCCATTACCCTACTCCCCTGAAAACCTTTTTCCCCCCCAGCCGTATATATCTTTTTTAATATTTTTAAACCCATTACCCCTTGCCCCAAAAGACATGGGCCCAAAACCCCCCCCTTTCTCTCTCCGTCTCACCCCCGCCCCTTGCTAAAACCATGCCCTCCCAAAAACCCCCCACACAATACCTTAAAAAACCTTCCTTGGATTCTCAATACTTTTGCCCCTTAAAGGGAAAAACCTAAAGCCCCCCCCAAACCCCTTACGTACCCAGGGGAGTTAAACCCATTTAAAAACTCTCTGCTTTTAAGGGTTACGCACCCTACCCCTTAACCCCCAACCCCTAAAAAAACCCCCTGCTCGTAACTAATTTTTTCCAAAATTTTTATCTTCCTACCCCTCCTCACTTCCCCCAAAGGTACCATATTCCAAAAAACCTTAATTTGTCCACTACTGACCATCCCAACCCCTCCCCCAAGCTCCCTCCCACCCAATCCCCCACCTTTAAAAGTTTTCGACTTCATTAAAAATTAAAATCTCATACCCGTAGCGGGGGCCCCAAAAAATTTAAAGATTCCACCAACTTTTCCCTTTGATCTTCCCATTCCTTACCAGCCCCAAAAGTAGTATCACACGTACCCCCAATCCCCCCCCGCGCCCCCCCCCCCCCCCAAATCCCGTTTCATTCATCACCTCAAACCCCCAAACCCATTTAAAAAGGAAATTTTTGAAAACCGGCAAACAAAAACTGAGAGGTGGACAGCCCCTGCCTCAAACCTCCTCCCCCAGTTTCGGGGGCCCCCAAAATTACCATTAATCTGTAACCCCAAAAACGCCTTTCCCCCATACAAGGTTTGAAAAACCACCTTTTCCCCCTTCCCCCCAAACCCAACTGTTCCAAAAAAAAACTTTTTTTTTAAAAAAACCCATTACACAATTTATAAAGGGAAATTTGCCCAATCTAAAACCCAAGTATTCCCCCCCGGTTTCGCCCAATAAAATCCCTTATGTGACTATGTCCTTCCCCCCCAAATTCTTTCCCGGGGAAAAAAAACGGTTCCCCCCCCTGAAACACGGAAAACCAAAGGGACCCCTTTTTAGTCTTTGCCCAGAATTTTAGCTTTAAAATTTTTTTTAAAACACACACAATTTAAAGGGTATCGTTTTAAAAATTTACTCGTACTTCCCTTCCTTCTTTTTCCCGGGCCCAACCAACGATCCCCCGGGTTTTTTTTTGTTTTCCCCCCCTTTTCCCACTGCGCCACATTTTAAATTTAAAAAACTTCCACTTAAAAATGCCCAATACCTCCCCAAAAAACTCTTAAAAATTATTCGGTTTTTTCCTTTTATGCCCGGGGGTTTTTTCCCCGAATCTTCCCCAAAACCGCCCCTTCCCCCTCCTCCCCTTAAATTAAAAATCCCCTCCACAATTTCTTTGTTCCTGTTGTTTCCCAATACAATTTTTTACTCCCGCATATCCCCAAAAAAACCTTCCACTTGCATCCCTTGTTTTCCCCCTCCTTTTCCCCCCAAACCCCCTTTAAACTGCAAAAAAAAAATTTTGGCCGGTTTTTTAGTAAGGTTCCTTGACCCTCCACAATTTAAACCCCCCCCCCTCAGGGGACCCAAAAGTGCCCCTAAAGGGGAGACCCCCTTTGCCTTTTCCCCAAAATTTTTGCCCCGTAAAACGAACCCCAAAAAACCGGTTGATCAAACCCTTTTAAAAACCCCTCTTAACCCCCCTCTAACTCTAAAAACGTTAAACCTGTCTTTTTAACCTGGGGAATCCTCCCCCTTAAAAAAATCCTTTAACCCCTCTCATACCTTCCCTACCCCCCCCGGCGTAAAAAAGCATTCAGTTTTTTCCCCCCAGAAATTTTGGCAAAACCCTACCGCCAACCCCGGCCCTGTTCCCCTACCCGTGCCCGGGAAAAAATCCCGCAATTTTCCCATCTTAGCCCCCCTCCCCCCCCAGGTTCAAAAAATCCCTCTCACCATCCCCCCGCCCTTTCCCCGAAAGGGGTTTTCCCCCTTTTCCCCAAAAAGGGAAAAGCCAACCCTCCCCCTCCTTTCCCGTTGCCTCCCCTTCAATTTCCAATACCCAGCCTTTTTTACGTACTTTTTCCCTTTCCCCCGCAACACTAAACACCCCCCTATGAATTTCCAAAAAACCCACATCCCAAAGCTCTCACCCTCTCCACCCTATTTCCCCCTTCCCTTTCAAAATCCTAAACTAACCTCGGGCCCCATAATTTTTTCCGACCCCTGAAAAGTTGTTTCTCCACCCAATTTCTTCCCCCCTCCCCCCCACATCACAACTCCTTTCTCCCTTTAACCATCCCTTAGGGGCCACCCCAAACACATCCCGCCCCCCCCCCGGGTGAGGGGCAAACCCCCCTACCTAATCACACAGTTTTTCCCGTTTAACCCCCCCAAAAAACAGTTTTATGGAAAATTTGACCCCCCCAAATAAATTTTTAAAACAAAACATCACGAACCAAAAAATCCAAACTTTTTCCCCTAACTTTTTTCATGCCGGGCATTTTTAAAACCCCCAAAGAAAAATTTTACTTCCCCCCCCCCCAAGGTTTCCCTTAAACCCCACCCACCCCCCCCCCTTTCCCCCCCCCCCCAACCCCCCTGGGCAAAGCAAATGGGGTCTCCCTTACAGCCACCCGCCACCCCTCCTTTTTAAAAAGCAAAGCATTACGACAAATAGGGTTTTAACCCCGCAAACGCCCCAAATTTACCCCCCTTAAACCCATGGTTTTTTGCTTTCCAAAAAAAAAAAAATTAAATCTACATCAAAAACCCTTCCCTAAAACCATTTTAACCAAAAACCCCTTTTGACCTCAGAATTTTTAAAACCATTTAACCCCTTTAAATTTTGAAAAAACTTGAAAAATTCCCAGAAAAGGCGGGTTAACCCCTATGCCGCTGGGCTTACCAAAAAGCCTTTTCCTTTGGGACCCAAAACCATTTTTATCATGTTTCCTAACCTTCCCCAACCCCCCCGCCCCCCCCCACCGAGCTTCCCCCCCGGGACACCCCCCCCCTTGGGGGCCCTTTCCCCCAAAACCCCATTGACTTTCCTTTCCCCGGTCTCTGCCCGGGGGTTTTTAAAACCTCATCAACGCCAAAAGGCCCCCCCTTCCCGTTTCCCCTTTGCGTGAGCTCTCATCCCACACATTCTACCTCAACGAGTCCACCCGATGGACTTCCAAACCCCCACTTTTTCCCTGTTCCCCTTGTCATTCCCCGAATCCTCCACCTGTCCCTGCCGGGTTATTCCCTTTGTGCACCTTTACTTAACTTCCGGGTCCGGGCCTCCCCCCGGGCCACCGGGGTCATCCAAGAAATCCTTTCAGCACTGCTTCCAACATCCCTCCGGGGTTTGCCTCCACGTCCCACCCTTTTCCCCCAGGCGAAAGGGGGGCTCTCCCCTGTCACCTCCGGGAGGGTTTTAAAACACGTCCCCCTCAACCCCCTTCCCCCCCTGGCCCCCTCCTTTACTCCAGAGAATTTGTCTTCCCGTTCCCCTCCCGTACCCCCCCCAAAAACCCCAACCACATTGCACGGTTTTCGAACCCCCCATCCACGTTTTCGCCCAACCCAAGGGGGGTTTTCCTGCGGGAAAACTTTGGGGGCCCCCCCATGGCTCAAAAGAAACATTTTTCGGGGTTTTCCTCTCCCCGCATAGGGGGGACAAATACCCCCGGGGCCTATAGGGTTTTTTCAGGGGTTAAAAAGAGGGTAATTTTTCCCCCCCTCCAAAAACATTTCATCCCGGGAACCCCTCGGGGCCAAACCCCTTTAAACGGCCCGTCCCCCCCCAAAACCCCCTTTTTAGCCCTATGAACATTCCTAATCGCTGAAGGCTTCCTGAATTTCCAATTTGCGTTGCCTCAAATGGTACATTACGCAAACCTTTTTCCCATGTGTAATATTTTCCCAAAAATATTTTAGAACCCACCTCTATGCTGAAAATTAAAAACTCATCCCCCTTTTCCCGGTTTTATCCACAATCCTGGGGGGAAAAGCCGGGTCTTGTAAACTTTTACAAAAAAACCCCTTTACCTTTCCAAATTTTGGGGGCCCCACCTACAAAATTAAACGTTTGTTTTCCCCCTAGACGGGCTCTAAAGATGGCCGATAACAGTTTCATGCATTTTGTCCGGGACTGCTTAACGTTCCTCGTACTAAATTTCCCAAAACAGAAAAGTATTTTTCTCTCCTTTTTGATAAAGATCCCCCCCTGTTGGTTTTCTAAGTCCGCATCCCCCACCAGGTGGCCCTTTTAAGGGGAAAACTCAAAAAGGCCTCTTTTTCCCAGTGGTCGGAGAACAATGGGCCAAACTGGTTTTAAATTTAATAGATAATTTACGTTGGGGAACCTGAGGTCCACACACCAAAAAACTCCCTTTCCATTGAATCTTCGAGTCAGACGAGCAGGTTGGTGGTTTAAAATTTAAATAGAAGATGGTAAGTTAAAGTTAAGCAATTTTTTTGAATTTTTGGGGAGATGGGAACCACATTAAACAGGCTGAATAAAAAAAATCATGCATATTAGACTGTTTCTTAAACAATGCTTCACAATACTAGATGTCGATACTATTCAAATTTTACCCATTTGTTGTTAGCTGTGGCCTCATCACGTCCTGTTGAAAAATAACTCGAACAGATGACTGTCAAAAGTTTTTTTTTTTTTTTTTTTTTGGGTATTGATATTGATTCATGAAACACTAGAGCAATAAAATTTGCTTAGATTATAATAAAAAAAATTACAACATTTCATAAATTTTTCTTTTATTTCAGTTCACTATTTCATGAGATGTTGTTTTATGAACATGTGAGCAATATATTCACTTTACACATTTAGTCAAATGATACTCACAGAGCTGTCTGATTTTAAGGATGGTGATTAAATGTGAGTTTTTATAGGACACTATAGTGCCTGAGTGTTAGTGTTCGCATGAAAAACTATGATGACTGAGTTTTAGCCACAACCTTTTTCGAACGGTTCAAAATATAGAATAAGAGAATATTAATCCATGCTTACATCATCATCTTGCATACATGAATGTATGCATTATATATTTATGAACAACCTCGAATGCTTAGATATAATGCTTAGTAATACTAGAATGCAAAGCCTTGTTACGGTTCATTTCCTTATTACTTCATTGTAAAATATACAATCATCTCTTCTACTTACCCCCCCCCCCGCACCCGAACTTTTCCTCCTCTTCCGCTTCAACCTCCTCTTCATCTTTTTGTTCCTCTCACCACTGTTTTGTTCAACTCACGTCTTCTACCCCCTCCCCACAACCTCCCCGGCCATGACAACTAACTCTTGCTTATATTATGGTTAACTGTGGTGACTTAAAGTGTGTGTCACTGTGACCTTATTCAGTTCTTTCCATGAGCAATTTCCTGGGGCACCTGAGTATAAATAACCCAGAAGCTGAGGGCGGTGGTCAGTTGTCTCAGAGCGCTTCAACAGTCAATATGGTAATTCAATTGTCCTCTTTCCTCTATATAACCCCAGTCATATATTATTAAGAATTATAGACTATACCAATGCCAAACACAAATTGTCAAATACATATATAATATGTTAACTTATTATTTTCAGATTGGTAAAGTTTGCACCCTGATTGTTGTGTGTGTGATGATTGTGGTGGCCAGCGCCGGCAGGATTGGTGGAGGCTACAGTGGTGGTGGAGGATTTGGTGGAGGTGGCTTCGGCGGAGGTATGATAGAAACAATCGTATATTTATGATGGAAAATTTAATATTGCTTCACAGTTTAGTATGTAATAATAATATGTATGTAATAATAATAATAATAATAATAATAATAATAATAATAATAATAATAACGTTGTTTCCATAAATATGAATGTACTTCGTTGTTCATTCATAGTAAATGGCTAAAAAAATTGTTTTAATTATTTAACCTAAAAAAATTAACTATAATAGTGACGTGACACTGCACAACGTGCAAATTTTTGCGAGCAAAACTGTCATTTCATTTTTTTTCTGCTTGACAGGTTTTAGCCGAGGAGGTGGTTTTGGTGGTTACGGTAAGTTCTATTTTTAGCCGTCAGATCGTAGACAGGAATGAGGAAGGGAACATATGAGTGAGGATATAGGATAAAAAAAATGACTTGTGAGTAAACTGTAAGATACAAGTAAGAAACTTTACGTTGCCTGACTGCTTTGGATGGGTTTTAAGAGAGTTATTTTTGCCGCATAGTTACCAGACTCGGAAAGTTTAAGTTTAATTATTTTGTAAAATTTAATTTTTATGAAATTAAATTACACTTTAAATAAGTTAACTTCCTCTACAAATAAGGTAAATTATTCTTAAGTAAGCTCAGTGGTTCTTTGCTTTTTGACAAAAAAAAATCATGAAAACAAAAAAATCATTCACAGTTATGCAATATATTTTTTGAGTTTATTAAATATCCACAGGAGGTAGAGGAAGCTTCGGTGGTGGATTTGGAGGTGGATCTGGAGGTGGATATGGTGGTGAGTAAATTTTGTTCATAGTTTTGTTCAGAAAAACAATAGTATATCTAAAATAATGAAAATCAAACAATTATAGTTTGGTTAAGATATTATTATCTTACGATATGACTAACATTATTTTTTCTTCACAGCATACGGCAAATAAACAAGAATCTTCCTTGACTCAACAATCAATTTGAACTTTTTCCAAATTTCTTCCCCAGCAACAAGATGTAACCAAGTGCATTCATTGTATTGAACCTTAAATATTATGTAATAAACTTTATTCTCTGCATTACATATTTTTCTCACCATGATAATACATGAGACATAAGTGATTCATGTAATATATCTTTCAATGTCATATTTATTTTCTGAAACAACTTACTGATTCTTATTGTATATTTCCTGTGAAAATTATTACTTTAATTAATCAGTCGTTGTTCGACCATGTGGGTTTAGCACCCAAGATAATAATAATAATAATAATAATAATAATAATAATAATAATAATTTTTAATTTATTAAACCATGCAAAAAAAACTAATATGAAATACAGGTCAAAATATTTTCTCTCCCCTGTTACAAGAAAGTATAAATAAAAAAATAAAAAAATATTTTAACGTATTTGTTTTCATGAAACTTGAAAGTTTGTTATTGTAATAAGTAATTAAATTTGAATCTCAGACTAGAGGTTTGTTAATTATTCTTAACTGTTGTGAGTAATATTGGATAACACACAAAAATATATGTATTATATATATATATAAAAATATATATAAATATATAATTATATATATATATATATATATATATAATATTATAAAATATATATATGTTTGTGGTTACAATTTTATAAAATCCTGCTTCCTGGGCTACTACACCAAGCAGGGAGTAGAATGAAATTAGCTCAGAGGCACCCACACCACCGTATGTATGTCCTCGGATCAAGGGTAACACACGTAACTTGGCTGGGTGCTTGGTTCTTGTAGGATTTATTGGTCTTATGAGTTAGTGTCATCTGATTTTCGCTCAGCATGAGGTGGGCCAAAACATCATGAGTTCGAGTCCTTGATTAGTCGCAGTGATATATACAATGAAATGTGTTTGTCTCTCAGCGTATATATGCTGAGTGTTTATTAAATCCCTATTTCATGTATTAAAGTATTCTTGTCAGGTGGTGAAAGGTTACGTGCAGAACACGACAATATTCAGCTTCAGTGTCCATAGTGTAGTCGATAGGCTTTAAACTTCAATCATCAACTAGCTGGACAAGTAAAACAGGAAATTATGAAAGAAAATGTTGAAAACTTCATTGAAGGAGAATTTTCTCAGAAAATTTGCATTTGTAGCAGAAACTGAACTAAAGACTGACACTTCTCTGAGTTCTACTTAACTATTTTTTCCTATTATGCTATTTTACGTTGTACATGAATGATATACAATACCGACAAGATGAAAATTAGACACATGTACAACATCTGGGTATCTTTAATTGTAAACGTTTCGCCATCCAGTGGCTTTATCAATACAGATTCTAGGACATAACTTGAAGACAGTAGAACTATTTTACATAATAATTACAAATGCAAAGACCTTTTACATGATAAAGCAATTTACATCTAAAAAAATTGGTGAAAACTGCAAATTTCAGTGGGAGAAAAAAATTAATGAGTAAATTAGATGAGAGATTATTGTTTAGAGAGAAAGAAGTCACTAGTCGATGTTTATAAGTTCTTGTTAAAAGTTAAATAAACCAAAACCAGTTACTGTCTTGTGATCATCTGTTTATTATATAAGGTGAAACACGCTTCTCTGATACTCCAGTAAATGCATCACCATTATTATCAAAAAATATACAATACTTATAAGTAGATGAGTAAGACACATGTGCAACACTTTGACATCTTCTTTAAGGAAATATTTCACCTGTTCAGCAGGCTCTTTCAGTCAATTTCAGGTGGCAAATACTCTACAAACAGTTGATAACATGAACATTTTGAGGTGTTCAATTACCGTACCTTCATATAAATGATGAGGTAATGTTGAGGTGTTCAAGGCTGAGGGACTGAACATCTCAAATTTACGTCTGAAACTTCGTCACCGCAGAGGGACTGAACCTCTTAAAGTCCTCACGTTTTCAACTGTCTTCAATATATTACTCACTTCTACATTCGACTGAAGAAGCCTGCTGAACAGGTGAGAAAAAAATAGTGACAGAATGCTGGAACAGTACCCATGAGAAAGAAATAAGTGACAGTCACTGGCAACGTTAAAAATATAAATGACAGAATCAACACTAAAGACAGAACACCAAGAACATAGTTCTGCTTCTGTAACTACGAACTGGTAATTCAATTGGTAATTGTTATTATTATTATTATTATTATTATTATTATTATTATTATTATTATTACTATTATTATCATGGGGAAGCGATAAATCCGTAGGATTATACAGCGCCTGTGGGGGGAGGGATATGGAAGGCATTCCAGCTCAATTCAGGGAACCGGAGCACAGATCCAATTACTTAGAACAAGAGCCCCTCACCAGCATCAAGGAACCTCCCTTGACGGGGACAATAAGTAATAACAATGACACTTGTGATCTACACAGGTCAGACAAAGTGCCACTCAGTCATCAGTTAGACGAGCGAATGGTGATTCTAGATTTATTTAAGAACTAGAAAGACATGTTAAGCAGTTCCTAGTTGTGTGAGAGATGAACACATCATACAGTCTATATTACAAGAAATATTAGTCTCCTACATAATACTTCACAATAATATATCCTCGATCTGATGATTGCAGAAGTTTTTTTTTTTTTTGACTCGTTTGAAATCCCCAGAACAAAAAATTTTTTTAAATTTTGAGAAATATTTTTTACTTTTTCACATTTAACCAAATACTCACAAACGCCCTTTTTCAAAGGGTGATGACAAAATGTGAACTGTGGAATGGAAAACAAAAAGTTTGGTGTTAGCACTAGCACTTGCGCCTCACTTACACACTAAGGTCCTGGTTCAATTAAAACGGAAAAAAACATTTGGGCGGGTTTTTTTAAGACACCGCTGTCTTTTACCTAACAGTAAAATAGGGATCTGAGTTAAAATCGAGTATGTGGGTCGCATCCGGAAAAAAAAATTAATTTGCCCGAAAAGTTCTGCATAAAAGAGGCTTTCTATATATGTGATTTTTCATGCCCAAATAGGCCGTATCTTTACTGACCTGTAGAAAAAGAATTTATTAATTATTATTATTTTCATATTATTATCACTTTGATCATTATTACGCATCGGTATAACGGCCTATAAAACCCTTGGGGGCAAAGTAAAAAAACCCGCATAGTTTTTAAATTTTATTTTTCCTTCACAAAGTATGAATTTTGGGAATACACTTTTGTACCTATGTAAAAAGTTTAAAATATAATGTACCAAGGGAATTAAATGCAAAGGCCCAAGCCCAAGAGAGAGAGAGAGAGAAGAAGAGAGAGAGAGAGGAGAGAAACCGTGAGCAAAAGCGGGTATAGAGTCTGACAAGTGCTGACTGTGAGTGATACAATCACCCCAGCACTTGGCAGGGCCCCCTGATGATTGTTAAAAGAACCCAAAGGGACTGTTTAACGATGGGGCCCGTAAGATCGTTAAACCCCTTTGCCCCGTTTGTGGGTTTGGGGGGTAGACTTAAGGAGGGGGTACAGCTCCCAATAAAGTGTAGCGTACTCCTCTGCCAAATCATACCTT